TCGTCAGGCCACGAGTGCTGTTATTTTTCTCGGATATATATATATATACGGGTCAGTGGTGCATTGTGGGTAGTCTATTTTGGCGGTTATTTTACCGGAAGTCGTTTATTTCTTTATTTATTTGGGTTAAATTATTTTTGCTTGTCATTATTTATTCTTGTTTTTATTTTTATATTTATTTTTTATTTTTATTTCTTATCTTATTTTAATCAGTGTTTTTATTAACGTAGTAAAAATTTGTTTATATCGCTTATTTAATGGTTTTGTTTTGGTTTGGGAAGATAAAGCTATTTATTCAATTTTGGGGTTGGTTGTTGTAGTTTATTCTAACTATTATTTTGGTGGGCGCAGTTTTTAATTTGTTTATTACTTCATTTATTTATTTGGATTGATTATCTTTATTTGTTTTTTCTAACGGTTAATTTATCGGGATCGGCTTGTTAGTTTGTTTATCTATTTATTTGGATGAATTTAGATTAATTTATTTTACTTGTTTTTTATTATTTATTATACTGTATATTTTTATTTACTCTTTTCGGTTTTCGATTTTTAAGTAACGTAGTATTTTTACCGTTTTACAACAGTTATAGCTATGTATTTCGTCCGATTTTTGGTATGAATTTTATAGTCTAACTAAAATTTTGGTCATAATGGTTTGTTTATTTGTTTATTATTAACTTTATTTATTTGGGTTCATTGATTTTGTTTTTTATTTATTTATTCTATTTCTTCTATTCTAACGGGTGTGATTTGGCATTTTTGTTTGGGTTAATTTATTTTACTTATTTTATTGCCCTTTTATTTATTTATTTATTTTATTTATTGTTATCTTATTTTATTTTTTTTCAGTTTTCGATTTTTAAGTAGCGAAGTAAAAATTTGTTTTGATGTCTGCATTTTGAGACGAGCTCGGATCTTTTATTTAATAATTTATTTTGGTCTGGGAATGTAATGATAGCTATTTTTTCCTCCAAGCAAGTTTGCAAGTTTTTAATTGGTTGCTGTACGCTGATGATCTTTTCCTTATTTTCCAAGATATTTTTTGGTGTAATGTGCGTTTTGTTTTTAATTTTCCAGATATACTTAGAAATCATTATGCTGTTCGCATATTTACTATTTGTGAAAGATGTTTTGTGTGCATAATTTCTTTGTTTCCAGGGTCCTTCGGTTACTCCTATGTATACTTTTTCTTCATTATCTGGTGATTTTATTGTGGCTTGATATATCACGTTATTTTGTAAACAATTACCGTTTAAGGGACATTCGTTCTTTATTCTGCAGTTAAACTTGGGTTTAATTTGCTCGTGTGGTTTGTTGATAATTTTCCTGTTGTGCTTTATTTTTATTATTTGTGTCATGTTGTCAGTGAAACGGTAACTGATATTTATTGTGTTATTGTTAGATATTTTGTGAAAAGCGCTAGTCTTTTTTTTATTATTTGTACCATGTTCTCGGTGCAACTGTAGCTGATTTTTACTGTGTTTTTGTTGAATATTTTGTGTAGAGTGCTTGATTCCAGGAAATGTTTGTGTAAGATTTTGAAGAATATTTTTCTTACGTTTGTTTTTACGTTTTTGCTGTACGGTGGGTTGAACCATATTTCTTTTCCTGTTGGCCTTTTTTTTTGTGTTCTCTGGTGAGTATGTGAATGTAGCTGGGAATCCACTATCTTTTAGGGCTGTTTCGTAGTCTTTCTTAGCTTTCTTAAATATGGATTCATTGGAGGAATTGTCGGAAAGCCCGCGCTTCATCGATTTTGGTATTTTGGTATATATACATATATATATTTTGGTATACAAACAAGTTTGCTTAAAAACGAATCGACAAAATCTATTTGTTTAATTTTTACTGTATTTCCGAATTTTTGTATAAGTTGTATATTGTGCTCGAAGTTGTGACTAAACTATCCTAAGTTCATATTTTGCTATTGTTTGTTCAAGTACTTCCGACTTTCAGTCATTATCTAGAATATATATTTACCGTCGTCTGCATCCTGGTTTTCTTTAGAAGGCTGGATATTTGAAATAGTCTAGTGTGACGTCATATGTAACGGCTATTTAGAACGAGGCCGCACAAAAAGATTGCGATTTATTTATTTATTTTATTTTATTTTTGTATTATTTTATATTTAATGTGGCCTGTTGATTCGACTCCATTTTTAACGATAAAAATAAATTTAAAAAATAAGTAAAAAAAACCTCCCCAAAACACAGGCCAACAAACTAATAACGGCTAACAACGGGGAGATCAGATCCCCAAAGACTACAGACCCAGTCTTATCCTGGTATTTACCCATAGGTGGCTTTTGAAAAGATGGATCCATGTATGGTACTTGGATGAAAACGAATGTAACAAATTCGACTGGAAATCGAACTCGACTCTTAGTTTACTGAATCCGAGCCGCTATCCATTATTGTATACACAGCTATATATAGCGAGAGTAAACAGGATGGCCAACGACATGTTGAAAGAATAATAAGAGACAATCTCCTGTAACAATTGCCTGCATCATTGAAAAACCTAAAGTGCTTATGCAAAAAAATAAAAAAAAATTGAATGACTCATAAAGGGCATATTGTAAAGGCCCGAAGATTACATAGGTCAGATTATTTACAAAAGAGCACGACATGTTCTCACTGAGTAGTGGTGGCTATCTATTGGTACGAATGGGTGAGAGCCTATTGGGCAGCCAAGACATTTATACAAATAGAGAACAGGAGGTTTTCCTTTCAGGTACGGACCAAAAGAATTCCCGTGGCACTAATTATAGATAGCATAGGTGACCCCGTACAGTACATGGGGTTGAGTCAAAGTACCAATGCCGGAAAGAATTTATCACCTAAATCCATTTGAACCCAAAAGAGTGTGCGAAAATAAAAAGAAAAGTATGTGACACAAAGTAAAAATATTGTTAACATTAATCATGAATACCAAAATCAGCCTCGATGAGAGACATTTTTTTTATCCATCTATCGTAGATACATATATGAGATAGATATGAATCAACAGAATGAAAGATATCTACATTGATAGATTGTAGTGGATAGGTAGAGACGGGAAGAAATATAACTACGTCTATTGCAATCAAGTCCTATCTATCTATCTATCTATCTATCTATCTATCTATCTATCTATCTATCTATCTCAGTCTGTTGATATCTATGTATTTCAGATCTCAGTCTGTTCATCTCTCTCTCTCTCTCTCTCTCTCTCTATATATATATATATATATATATATATATATATATATATATACATCATAGTCTATATCTCTCGCCGTTGAAAAGATTAAAATATATAAATAGAAGAGACTCTGATAGATATGAACAATCTATTTTTTCATACTCACACATATATATAATGTCTCAGTCTATCTATCTGTCTATCTATCACTATATATATATATATATATATATATATATATATATATATATATATATATATATATATATATTAACAGTTTAACCATCTCTGCCGCAGTGGATTACATGAGAACAGATAGATAGATAGATAGATAGATAGATAGATAGACTATATCATCTCTATCTCACTTCCTCACTAACTTATACATAGACGTATTTCACTTTATTAAAACAGTTACCACTATACGTACATTATAAGCTTGCGAAAAAGTACACACCTCTAGTTTACAACTTGATACTTATCCACTTGACAGGCTCAATTTTCGAACTGCATTTCATATTTGTGAACAGAGAAGTTGGCCTTGGAAATGTAAGCGGTCTTTTTTGCCATATGTTAGTGACTTGACGATTAACATAGTTTATTTTAATCGACTTAAAAGAATTAGCGATTTATATGAGTGACAATAAAAAGGAAGACTTTTGCTGCTTCTCACAAAAAAATATCGAAATTCATATTTTGATCTTTGCTCATATCTATCTATCTATCTATCTATCTATCTATCTATCTATCTATATTAGTCTGTTCATAACTATCTATCTATCTACTGGCCCGGCGTTGGCTGTGCTTGATTCAAAAATCGTACGACTCATACAGCAATCGCTATCATTTGACTTAGAATATTTTTGCTCTTCCTTGCCTTTAAAGGAGTGCCCTTTGCCGTGCTGATGTTGCTACATGCCTTACTTCTTGCCTGTCTCACACCGCAAATTTTTTCTAGACATTAAATCTGTTAGGAAAAGAGAACAAACAAAATGAACACAAACCGATCAGCTTTAAAAAAAGACTCGTAACTGGAAAAAGCGAATGAAAAAAGAATGTTAACAACAAATACTTTTTCACACCCAACCCAGTTCTGCGGAATCAGAATCAACGTTGAGTTTAAGCAAGCGAATAAGCCAATTGGAGTAAAGTGCCATGCAGTTTTAAATTTTTCTCACTTGTGACGAATGCAGCTATTGATTTTTTTTGCATGCTAGCATGCTAGTTAAGATTCGTGTCAGTCAGCTGTTGGCTCTCACGTTGGCCAATAGAATCTTCCAGCCTATTCGGGGCAGCCAGCTATAGACTCTCACTCTGGCCAGTACAAAATGGCCGCAAACTACATGAAAACTGCCGTAGAAGCATGAAAAAATCGATTATTTCCACTATCGATGGGAGTCGGTCTTGGCCTTCCCGCTAACTTGGAGCATGTGCATGTAAATTTTGGTGCAAATCCGTCGAAAATTACGGCCGTGCATTCGTTACACACACACACACACACACACACACACACACACACACACACACGCATCCTGAGTTTATAGATAGAGATATATCTAACTTAGTCTGTTCATATCTATCTATCTGTTTTCTCTTATCTTCCTTGGATATTAATCAATCAGCTTAGACATGAATATTTGTTACTGAGACGTTTACAGCTTGAACATTTCCTGGCACTTCCAGTCGTCGGATCATTCGCATTTTCCCCATGTTCCAAATATATGTAAGAAGATTCAACAATGCACCCTTTTCACAAGAACTGCCATTTTCGGAATCGACTCTCGAGTGGGTGCTTCCCTGCACATTTACATCTTGATCTCTTCAAATAAAGGTTCAAACATCATATTTCGTTCTTATACTCCTAATCTCCAATTTGTACCACCTTCTATCCCATGTATATCACCCACCTCACCATAACATGCATTTCATAGGAATTCGGCGTCGTCGACCAACAAATATACTATTATATATATATATATATCATAACATCACTTACTTCACCTGAACTAGGAAAGACATCATCATTGGACTGTCGAAGACAGACGCTGTGTCAAGTTGTGAAAAGTCACATTTCTATGTATAAATCTTTTGACCGACATTCGAGTTTGTGCATGGAGGAGACCGAATGTTAGCAGGATGTTGTGCAAGCTATGGTAGTGGCTCTATAATGATATCAAGCATGTTCTGTTGGAGTTTGCAAGAACCACGAGTCCTTACAGGTGTGCTATACACATATCTATTTGCAGACCGAATGCACGAGGAACAATCGACTGACTTTCTGAACTTCAGTTGGCTTCTGCACACGCCAAATTTAAACCGCATTGAACAAATATGGCATATAATGGAGATCCCATTACATTCCCGGCAAAGACACCAAATAAAACCCAGCCATGGGCTATACTGGATCATGTCTGAATAGATATAGCCACGCAGCGACTTCCGTAACTCGTAGATTCTGTGTCACGTCACGTAGCCACCGTTATTTGGTCAAAGGGATAAATTGTATGTCATGTAGATGTATCTAATATTTTGTCACTTCTGTTTATACATATATATATATGTGTGTGTGTGTGAAAAATGGTCAACAAGTACACACACAAGCACATAAGTAGTTGTGTCAGGAGAATCTATATTCTTCGATTGAAAAATATTATGTCCAAAATCTATATATCAGTCTAAAAGGTGGTGGGTCATGGAATGAGAAATCGAAGAGCAGATTTCCAATTCCAGTCGGGATCATTACATTCATTTACGTGCAAATACCCTTGGGAAAAGTATACACACATTTATTTAACAGGAGTAGAGAAATTCACCGATCTTCCGGTTCAAACTACTCGACTGTCTTTTGTACATGAGTAGAGGTTTATCACTTTTCCCTTTGCCTAAATAACGGTGGTTGCGTGACGTGACACATAGTCTACGAGTTGCGGAAGTCGCTGCGTGGCTATATCGGCTATTTCGAAAATTATATAATTTTCTACATATTTCCATATCAATAAGGTAGATTTTATTTTCCTATAGAGCTATGCCGCACTCTGGCATCATCTTCACAAGCGCCTAAAGATGTCAGTTCCTTGACATGGTGAGATTCGAACCCGAGTATCATGGTCGGAAAGCGAACGTGTTAATCACTCGGTAACGCAACATTCCAATATTATATTTCGGTATCTCTGCACACTGTCGCACACACAAACACACACAAGAATTTAAAAGTCAAAAAGAATGTGAGAGAAAAGTCGCGTATAAAATTGGCAGGAAAGTCGGAAGTGAACAAAGGGCAAAGGGAGATAATATTAAAAAAAAATCTCGAAAGAAGAAAAACATTTTAAAAAGTTACCAAAAAGAAGTGAAAAAAAGAAAAAAAATTATTCAAAAGCGTTGAAGAAAAAAAAAAACGAGAAAGGTAAGTAAAGAAAAACGACGAAAGAACTCGCTTGGCACCACGGCCATTACCAAAACTCTAACGTTCTCTGATGGGAGGTGATTATGCCTTTTTTTACAGTGCAAGACAACGTGAAAAGCCAGGCACGTTCTTTGCCTATATAATAGGCATAATTAAAGAAGTCTCCAACACCGCATCTGACGCTTGAAGGGCTTCATATATAAGATAATACATGTATAATATGTAGATATTAATGCTTATACAGCTAATACATAAAACAGCGCATGTATCTACACACACACGCACACACACAGACGCAATATATATAATATATATATATATATATATATATATATATATATATATATATATATATATATATATATATATATCAGATAGATAAATAGAAAGAAATGTATGTATATGTGCCTGTGTGTAATATATCTCTTATTTATACAAACACACAAACACATGTATATATGAATTTACATCACTATATATATATATATATATATATATATATATATATATATATATGTGTGTGTGTGTGTGGTGTGTGTGAATACAAAGGTTTAGATAAGTATCAATGTATATATATTGTGCATATATGTGTGTGCGTGTGAGTGTACGCAGTATATATATATATATATATATATATATATATATATATATATATATTTTTATGATGATATACGTCAGTATTATGGTATATATTGTATGCTCACTCTCACAATTACGCACACATAGACACACACACACGTAAAAACATTCACACATGCACACATTTACACACACATATATCTAAAGCTGAGCTTTATTGGGTTAGGGCCATATCATGTTGGAACACAGTTTCCTATACGATCACTGAAGTTAAGCAACGTCGAGTCTGGTTAGTACCTAGATGGCTGACCGCTTGGGAATCCCAGGCGCTGTAAACTTCAATGTGCAGATTGTGTAATGGATAACAACTCGGAATTATCAATCGGAGTGCAGAGTTCCAATTCCAGTCGGGTCCGTTATATTCACTTACGTGCAAATATGCTTGAGAAACGTATGAACCCACTCCTTCTAGCCCCATCTATGGATTAATTAGTAAGGCGTGTATCACTAAATCATTATTATCTTCCCACCTCCCGAAAAAAAATTTACAGTCTAAAAATATTTATGGCTTTAAATAACCTGCAACGGTTTGATAAACTGTAAAAATACATCAATCAATCAATATTGTATATATAATATGTCTACACCCGTAAACACACATACACACACACACACACACACATATATATATATATATATATATATATATATATATATATACTACAGTAAATCCAGTATTTCTAATTTAATTATTAATAATGACTCTTCCCTACCAACTAACGTTATATATAAATTTAAATGTATCTGAGACGGACAAATCATATTTATGGCGGACACACTACGACCAGGTTGTCTCGGCGTCTGAGTTTTCATTTGAATCATGCGTCCAAAATTTTTTAAGCATTTCACCCTAAGCAAGGAGGGAAGCCACTAGCATGCAAAGGGTTAAACATTTACAATAGCATACCAATCCACATTCGCAATTCAGAAAAAAATTCTTGTTGAAAATAAATATATACTATTTGATGAAAATAATAGACATAAACTAAAAAATCTTGAAGCTATCTTTATAAAAAATTGAAATCAAACCTTAATAAAATTAACTATGAATTCTGCACAGATGTTTTCAAATGTGTACCGTAGATAGTTTAAAATATCGATGTCTGTTTTTAACACTTTTTAAAAAAAACTCTCGCTCCTCAGAACTTAGTTACCTCCCCTGAAGCGTTACACAGGTAATTGTACTAAATTTAGCGTTCTTCACTTCATGAGTAAAAAAGACTTTCAGAAGAACACAGCAATTTTCTTTGAAAATGACGAACACTACTATATTTGTATGGAAAAAACAATACCCTGATGATGACATTGTACTAATGTCGAAAGTACTCGGAATAAATAAAATGTAACTGCACGGTCGTTTTCTTTAACTTAAATAATGGCACAAAAATGTTTGTCCGGGAATATTAAAGGATCCAATAGAAAATAAATAGAGAAAAGTTGTCTAAATTATTCAATAAAACATATCTCGATGAAAACATACTGCCAATATATATATATATATATATATATATATATATATAAATATATATATATATATATGCGTGTATGTGTGCGCGTATATATATATATATATATATATATATATATATATATATATATATATATATAATGAAAAATAGACCACTTTAAGGTAACATTAGAATAATTTATTTCACCAAAATCCTTTTTAAAGGACTCCGGTTGATCAGGTAACAATTCCAACAACGAAATGAAAGGAAAAATGGGATTAGAAATTGATGGGTAGTGTAATTTTTGTAATTTAACAGGGGGATGAGAGTGGTAGGTAAAGAGACAAGGTAGAATATAGGGAGGGGTTAATTTCATATCTCTCTTAAGCATGCTTTATGTAGGAGGAGTGACCGAACCTTGACCTATTTAGATGGTTAACTTAACGGAAATGATATGTAGGAGTGGGAGAGGAGAAAATAAAAGGAAAAAGAGTTAAGTTACACTACCCATCAATTTCTAATCCCATTTTTCCTTTCATTTTGTTATTGGAATTGTTACCTGATGAACCGGAGTCCTTTAAAAAGGATTTTGGTGAAATAAATTATTGTAATGGTACCTTAAAGTGATCTGTTTTTCATTAAATATTAGCTCTGTATTCACATTGAGCTCTCAGGATTCCATCCTCCTTGGAATTACCCATATCGGTTTACCAAGTTATTCATAACTTAACTATATATATATATATATATATATATATATATATATAATCAGATGTATTTATTAGTGGACATTTCTTTTTTGTTGTCTTCATTTTTGGCCAGGTACCGTGTCCCGTGGCAATCATGGCTGCACACAGATATGAAAAGACTATTTGAAATAACTGATAATATATATATGGGGGTGTAGTGAATTGTTCTCTGTCAGATCCAAATGATTAAACATCACAATGTTTTTTTATTTTGTGTTGTTTTGTTTTTGTTTTTTTCTGGAAGGCCTTCTTGGTCGAAATAAAAAACTTTCAGCACTCCCTTGTAACAGGACTATATATATATATATATATATATATATGCATGCCCACGCCTAACCACTCCACATACCAACACAAACATGTGTATGTTAACAGTAATGTTGTATAGGCCTTATCTTATAATATCCACACACAAACACAGATATTATATTTAGTAAGAATCTAAAATAAGTGCAAGACACGAATTCGCAAAATTTTGCAAAAATGTTAAATTTTGAATATTTTGCTTTTATTTTTAATCAAATTTGTGATCAAATGACCAATTATGAATTTTTAACACATATCTACTTAGGAATGTGTTCCGACTAATAGGTGGATTGTGAATGCTCCTTTCTTTCCTAGAAATATTTTTTTTAAATGCAACCAACTGTTGAATAAATGGGTCATCCCGTGATAAAAAAAAACAAACAACTTTTCTTTGTGTACAGATAGGAACAGCCCAACATACAAATTACAAAGTGGAGATACCGAACTCAATCAGTTACAACGATTTAAATAACTGGAAAGCGCTTTAACAGAGGTCGAAAAGTGCGACACTTAAATTCGAATGTGTATTTGGATAGCGAAAGAAGCTTTCCAAAAGCTAAATAAAGTATTAAGAAACAGAAAGTTTTCGCTAGAAACAAAGAAAAGAGTACTGAACTGTTCTGCAATATTGGTCTTCCTATATGGCAGTGAATGCTGGACTGTCTCCTCACAGATGTAGATGAAATTTGAAATCAGAGATCAGAAAAATCAAAAATATCAGAGATACCAAAAATTGCAAAAAATTAAATATCTGCGAAATGTTTAAGCGGAGGATGGAAAGTGCGACACTGAATTCCCAAGATACATTGGGATAGCGAAATAGACATTCCAAAAGCTAAGCAGAGTATTAAGAAATCGAAAAATAGAAACAAAAAAAGAGTACTGAGCTGTTACGCGATATCAGCCTTCATATATATGAATGAATGCTGGACAATCTCCTCACAGATAAAGAAGAGATTCGAAGCACCAGAAATATGGATCTACAGAAGGATGCTGAGAATACTATGGATCGAACATGTGAGCAGCGTGGAAGTTCTACAGACAATGGAAACGTAAATGAGAAATAAGCTTAACACCAGAAAAAGGCAGCTGAAAATTCTAGGGCACATAAAGAGGATAAGAGGCTTGGAAAATTTTATACTCACAAGACAGATCGAAGAGAAGAGAGACTGAAACCTGAGTGAATGGATGGTGTAGCGGAAAGATGGCGGAAAGTAAAATGTTACAAAGGACAGGAAGTTGTGGAGAGCCATGATCAACAACGTCTTGAAGGTACACGGCACATTGAAGAAGATAGCCGTCAGAATATTTCTCTGAAACCAGTTTCATGTTTTTGCTACAGACGTGACATTCTATACAAGATGCTATCAACTTTGTAAATATTTTTCAAAAACTCTCTTCAATATTGACGAATCATAAGAATTTATAAATATATAGTTATAAATTATGCTATATTTATGAGTTAAAGTGATCGATATCAGGGACAGGGTATATGAAAAAAGGAAAAATGGTATCAGCATACATTAAGAGAAATGTATCAAGGGACGCACGAAAACATCTTCAGGGATAATTTACCCTGAAGATGATCTTGGAAAAGATCAAAAGTACTTGTGTTAGAAAACCGGCTTCGTTAATGATTTAATCTTGACATCAAGAAACTGATTAGAGAATTGGAAAGGATCAGCATAAAAATAAATAGACACAATATATTTATATTATTCAACGAAACATGTTTGAAGATATGCTACACACACACACACACACACACACACACACACACATATATATATATATATATATATATATATATATATATATATATATATATATCCAACATTAGTTCTTGAGGCTGAATAGAATCCTGCTTGTAGGTGGAATTGTTAGAAAAAATCCTTTCCCTGTTTGATCTCTCGCTGTGCGAAACATTTTTCTGGAGATAAACTTAGATTTAAAAATTGTGATTGGTGGTGAGTGGAAGAGGAGTGAGATGTTGACCATAAACGCAAAAGGGTTATAAGAGCAGAGGTGGGGACGTTATTAGGATTGAAAGTTATATCAATGTTTTCTGCTAGTGTTGAGTTAAGTATTGTCAAGGTGAGGCAAGTCCTTTAGGTTTTTTTTCATTTTGATTTTTAGCATCGATTTGAATGTCGTCAAGTGAGGTCCAAGATACATGATTAGAAAAAGGAGTTCACCATAGTCTCCACCGTCCCTCTGTTTATTTCTCGCATCCGCTGATGAAGACCACAGGCGTGTTCGAAAATTCCAAACTTGGAACCTCAATCTCCGTGCTTCATTTTCGTCACATGGTTAATATTAATAAATATTTTCCGCACTGATTACATCGTTATTCTTACGTTTAACTTTGTTTTATTGACCAACGTATCTCCTCTATTTTATAAACTATATGAAACACGTGGACTCTTTTTTCTAATCACACACACACACACACACACACACACACACATATATATATATATATATATATATATATATATATATATATATATATATATATATATATATATATATATATATAACCCGGATATAAGAGAGGTGTCAGGACCGGAGAAGAAGTCTTTATATCCGGGTTTCTCTTATATCCGGGTTTCTCTTATATCCGGGTTTCTCTTATATCCGGGTTTGGTCCATTTTATATACATTAAAACAGGCTCTAATTTGGGACCAGAGAAAATCTCTTATATCCGGGTTTCTCTTATACCCGGGTCTCTTATATCCGGGTTACACTGTATATATATATATATATATATA